ATCACTTTTGAAATACCAGTCTCAGAGAATGAATTTTGGCATAAAAAGTTAATATCTACCCTATCTTCAACTAATGGATCTGGAAAGAATTTGTCCATGGGCATGTTTTTCCATAAGTACTAATTACATAAATTTTTATATTCTCTAAAGCCTTTAGGAACATCAGGGAAAAAAAAACAACCACAACTTCTCCCACCCCTCAAAACCCTTCAAGAAACCTCAAACCTGGCTTATTATGCAGTACCAGCCTTCAAATGCCATTAATATTGAAAGAGACTCCTTGCTTCTAGCACAAATGCTTTAACTATGTCCATGGTCTGCATTCAGTTGCCTAACTTCTATAAACTTAAAAAATAAACCTGATTTTAGTAAGACTGCCAAAATATTCCATACTAATACCAGAGTTGGATTAAAATTAATAAAGCACAAGTTGCAAATATGTTTCAAATGGAAACCTGGATCCGGAGCAGTTTTAGTGCCTTAAGAATACAGCAAGCTTTAGAAAGAATTTCTAACCTGTTGGTAGGGCTCTCAGCATTGCATTAGAAAGCCTCTTTGACAGAAGTTTAGTGAACCAGGAAAGTTCACTTGAAGCTAAAAGCTGAAATGAATAATCTTGCAAAGAATTGACTTGCTTTTTTTCCAAGAGAGAAAACAAGATCTTCTCATTTTAAAATTAAATTTAAAAAGGCAAAGGGAAAATTCAGAGCTTAACAGAACTTTTAATTTTTTTGCATGTTTTGGCACAACATTATTATTTGATGTGATATCTCTACATTTAAAGAGCTCTTGCAATATTACGATAAAAATAAAATCCAAGCCATTCTTGTCATGCAGAATTGTGATTAAAACAGGCTTTGTTCATTACAAAGCGCAGGGAGGCATGTTTGTGCCATGAAAGATAAGGGAACTTTTGACACCAATGAAAATGTTGCACACAAAAGATTCACAGGGTGACCCCCTTGCAGAAGGCCGAGCTGCACCTCCTCAAAGGTGGGTATGTTAGAGGAGAGGGAATTTTTGTGGTTTATTTGCCACCTTTCCTGGGAATATACCTCTGTGAACTAGGACTAATAAGAAACATAAAAAGGAGGGGTACAAATAGTGATCGTGACGGCTGGTACAACAAGCATTCAACAAAACCAGCGTGCTCTCTCTGTCCCCAGCCTGCTTTGGGACAGGGATGAAGGTTAGCTTTGGTAAAAGTTTCCTCGTTCTTCTCCCAGGCTGAAATCTGGGATCTCAATCTCTGCAACCGCGTAGCCTGCAGCTGGTTCAGTAACACCATCCCACAGTGAGTGAGAAATAAATAAGGAAACCTTATTAATCTAAGGAAAAGAAGGTACATTTCTAAGGGTAAGCATATCACTGGCAGATAAATGTAAAGGAAGTTACTGTGTGTATAGAGCAAAAGGAACCTCCACAACAAACTTTCTGAACTACCCGGATCTCTTCAGTGACACAAAAACTGCAAGGAGAGAGGGGTTAGGGACATTATAGTTCTGGAAAAGTTTTCTTTTCCTCATTATTAGTAACTCTAATTACTTTGAAAGAAGAGCAATGAGATAAATCCTGCAGAGCCAGAAATGTGACCTGATTTCCTTCCTGATTTAGAAACTGTCACTTTTCAAGAGAAACCCAAAGAGACAGAGCCAGGTCAAAGTGGGCCCATCAATTTGGTTTGCAGAGTAAATAATAAACCAAGATCAATAGAAATACAACCAGGGTTTTGTTTTGGTAGATGTTCGTAAGTACAATGCTATTTAAAAGATAAATAAGCACATGTTTGTCTGAACTGTCTGCAGTCAAACCTGTCACCATGGAAGAGATACTCACTATAAGCAAACAGGGGTATACCCAAGTGACTTCATGTATCTTCCTCCAGGTAAAAGTGAGAAACTGTGACAGAATTTCAAATATAAATTACTTCATACTATGATTAAGGCCCTACCTCAAGACAGCATGTAAACACAAAGCAGAAAATTCAAGCATATACTTAAGAGTGATGCTGTTTCTGCAGTACCTGAGTTTTATTGAACAGAACTGAGAAATTACTTGTTGTCACATTTAAACTATCAAAGCTGTAATTTCCCAAAGTAATTCTTGAGGACACTTGGAGACAACTTACAAGGCAGCAATTTTCAGGGAGTACTGAGCACCCACCTCGGAAAACAACAGGTCTCTTCTATGGTTTTCAAATCGATATTCCAAAAACTAAGGCATTTAAGGTAATAACAGCTAATAACCTGTTCCTTCAGAAAAGCATAACCAGGATTACCAAATGACTGCTATGCTTTAATATGCAATTCAAAGTCTTAGTTCACATACATACACAAAGGGAAGGGAAGGGAAGGGGCCAATCCCTGTCTAATATCATAAATAGGATCTTAAAAAAAAAAAATTAAACCAGCTATATTTCATAGATCTCCCATGCCGCTCAGGATGTTACTTCCTATCAGTGTATTTTTAAATATAATTTTCAAAACATGTAAATCAAGAACACAGCAACTACTTAACATTTTTCTGTAGCCTGTAAAAGTCTTGGGAGGTGTGAACTGGTGCCACAGGTGTTAGTCCACCACAGCGAGAACAGAGGCGGGTTTCTGATTCATACCAGGAATATCATGCTTTCAACTGTGTTGCAGTTTTAAAGTCTGCACCTATAAGCTGTCATTCAGACTCAGGAAGCCTCATGGTCTACATACACCCTTCATGGTCAAGGTATTTAGAGTACATGCCCAATGATGCAACTGAATACCTTTGTGTGCTCTGACGAATGACTGAGGGTATGAAACAATATCAGGTCTCTACCACACTGTACAGAGTTTTTACATGCTTTAAATCTGTAGGACTCGTCATGGCATAAACTACTCTGTGCAAACACGGGCATTAGAATCTGCTCCTTTCTGTTTGTAAAGCTCTTTAAGAGGCAGGAGTACAGGCAGGAGTACAAAGCTTATCATGAATGGATTCAGAACGAGCACTGAGAACTGAGAAAAAACACATTACAACAAACTCCAGTCATGTACAAGTTAAGTAACATATTCATCTATGATTACTTCTGGCAATACAGTGATCTGCTGCATATCAAAGGTTACATAAACTCCACTACTTAAGGCTGAGACCTTTTGGCACATTAATCTCAAAGCATCTCAATCTGCAGAACAGGCTTCCATTGTTTAAACTTTGAGACACCTGCTCCCAAATGATACACTTTTTTTCTTAAAGACCCCCTATTTCTGAAGCTCTATTTCAACCATGTTTGCCATTTGAAAAAGCTAAACCAGCCAAAAAAAAAAAAAAAGGGCAAACCAAAAAATTACCAAAATCAGAGGACATAAATCCCATTTGCATCATTCCCCTTCTAACACAGGACTCCCATCAACCTTTTCAGAACTAGACGTCTCATCAGAGGCACTGCACTCAAGCCAACAGCAGCAACACTCTCAGAAACACCACTTTCTGGGTCCATTAGAATGGGTTTCACTCCTCACTGCCTCACACAGCTCTGACCTTTCCAATTCTCTGTCACCAAAAGCTTATAGGATCTGCCAGATCCATCTGCGGCTCCACCTGGCCTGCTTTCCCACGCCAAAAGGACGGATCAAATATACGTGTCTGAAAACACATCCCTGTTTTTTCTTCGCACCACCCGGAGGGGAAGCACTCCCCAAGAGCTTCAGACCAGAGGAAGCCTCCAAGAGCACTTCTGGAAAGCCCCGAAATCCTGGGAAATTGCAGCAAAATGAACTTCAGCACCTTGGACAGGACACACCGAGAGAAAATCACTGAAATGCGCTCATTGGCCCCGAAAATGCAGTGCCTGGACATGACCCTCTAGGACACATCTGCGGGCCTGGTTATTTTTAGTATTGACAAATCCTCTTTGAATCGCCACGTTTATTCCACCATCCGTCCTGTATTTCGGGAAGAGCTGCTCGCCAACCTGGTGGTGGGAGAAATCAGGGCCACCAGCTCTGGATTCAATGCCTGTCTGTAGGATCACTGCCTGCCCCAGCTGAACCTGGAAAAAGCTTAGCTCAAGCACTCACAAAGCCCAGCTCATCCTTCCAGACAAAACAAGACCTGTTGCTGTAGGTGTGCGTGGCTTATGTGTTTCTCCGCTTTCTAGAACCTCATCTCCACATCCTCAGCCAAATCTCCAGGGAAAATAAAATGAAAAGGTCTGATTTATTCCCACTGCAGCCACACTTTGGTTGTGTAAGTTTTCCTTTAATTTAGCTTTTGTTCTCTGTTACAGTCCTCCCGGTGTCTCTGTTCCCCTCGGGGCTGCCTTGATAAACCATGATCACCTTGCTGGAGCGCAGCACACCTCTCCCTGTTACTCTTTCACTTGCACAAGCCAAGTGGAGCTTTTAACGTGTGCCGGTAAAAACTCCAAGTGTTTTAAGCAGAGATATTCTACAAACAGCTCTGTGGTGAGTGGTGCCGTTAAGGTATACACTTAAAATATGTCAATTCTCACAACAAGTGATACCAATAATATTCTCATTACAGGAGAACGATACATTTTCCCTGCCACCGCAGAAACACCCATTCTAGTTCATTTCTTCAATTCAAAATGTGCCACTGAATTTCTACTGCCACATGACATTAAGCGAACAATTTGCAGAGTATTTTCTATGTTGTGACTTCTTTCCAGCACTTCTGGGCGCAGAAGCGAGATGAAAACCGGACCAATTCCCTGACAGAGTTACCCTTCGACAGCAATACATATATACACACACCTATATCCTCTGCTTACATACCCCGACCCAGTTTGGCTGAGCCAACTTCTCTCCCCTCCAGCTCCTCCCTCGTAGCCCCTCTGCCCGGACGGGATCTCCGAGCGGAAAGTTTGGGGAAAGGATAATCCCAGCACTACCTCCACGACACGCTCGGAACCGTCCGTCTTTGCCTTGTGTTTTATTTCTTTTTCCACCCCCCTTTTTAGTATCACTATAATTTTATTAACAAGCAAACAAAAAAGAGAAACTTACATGTGTTTATTTAATTTTTCCTGCTAAACCCAGAGTCCCCGAGCCACTGCACTGTATCCACAGAGTTTTAGTCCCCGAGCGGCACCGTCCCGCGGGCAGGGCCCGGCTGCTGGGCGCGGAGGGCGCATTGCTCGATCCGCCGCGCCGACTGCGCGCCTGCCGCCCGAGCGCGGCCCCGGCCGGGCGGCGGGGAGGGGCGGGCAGGGGAGGGGACGGGACGGGAGGGCGGGAGGAGGCACCGCCCGCCCCGCCCCGCTAGCGGAGCCGAGCCCCGCCGAGCCCGCAGCGCCCCCTGCCGCCGGTGGAGAGAGGGAGGGAGTGGGGAGAGGAGGAAGGATGGGCAGGAGCGCTGAGGAAGGGAGGGAAGGTTAAGGATGGGGAGGGAGAAATGGGAGTGGGGAAGGTTAGAGAAGAAGGATAGGCAGGGGTAAGGAAGGAGAAATAGTGGGAAAGGAAGATGGGGTAGGGAGGAAGGAGCGAGGAGGGATGGAAAAAAGGGAGGGAATGAGAAGAGAAAGATGGAAAAGGCAGTGGGGGTAAGGATGGGGAAGGAAGGGCAGGAAGGAAAGATTATAGCAAAAGAAGAGTAGTAGAGAGGGAGGAAGGAAGGGTGAGGAGGGCACTGGGAAGAAGGAAGGGATAAGGAAGAGAAGGATGGAAAAGGCAGGAGGAGAGAGGATGAGGAAGGTTAGGGTGCGAGGTGGGATGAAGAATACCGGGGAGAAAGGCGGGAGGGGGAAAAGGGGGATGGAGCTTCAGTGGTGGATGGGGGGCACCATGGAGGGCTTGGAGAGAGGGATTGACCAGAGAACAGGCACAGGGGAGCAGGACATGGCAAGGGACACTCAGCAAGCAGGGAAAGGGGGCAGGTGTGACCAGTGCCAGAGCTGGCGATATTGAAGTATTCAGGGTGGTAAAAGTGGAAGAAACCTCTGAAGAACTGCAAAAGGACCCCAAAATACTGATCAAGGTAAAATACAGGCAAGACTGGCAGCACTTTACTGGCTCAGAGATGGGCTGTGAAGTGGCTCCTACTGCTCTGGAAAGGGAGTCTGGAGCTGTAACAAGCATTCCTGTGAAAGCAGCTCAGGGTTTAGTGATCAAAAGGAGCAAGTCCTGGAAAAGGAGTGATCATGAAGAGGAAAACAGAGGGCCTACACAACAGACCCCAAAATACAGCAGTGACTCCAGGAAAGTGGCTGGAGAGCAGGTCTCCATTCAAGAACAGGTTCACGCTCAAGGAAATTATCAAATGAAGGATTCAAAATATGCAAACACTGAGAACTGGAAAGCAGCAAATGAAAAAATGCCTCACAGGGAGTCTGGGTGAGGAGGATGAGGAGAGCTGCCATGAGGGGGTAGAGGTTAGAGACTGGAAAACAAAGACTACAGAGGAAGGGAGAAGGAAGGGAATGAAGATAAGGAAGGGCAGAGGAGGATGGATGTGCCAGGTAGGAAATAAAGAGAAACAAATCCTCAGGGATTTAATCACTCAACGTGAATGTGAATGGTGATGGTACAAAAGGACAGAAGTTCTCATGAGGACCCAGGGTGGACAGAGGGTGGGCACATCTTCAGCACTGGAAAGGTAGACTGTGAGTCCAGCTCAGCCCCTGCTGTTGAACCCTACCGCCGTGGCAGGTGCATCCCTGCAGGACACTTCTACTTTACAAGAGGAACTTTTTCAGCAGTTTAATGGACTTGCAACACCATTTTAAGTTCAACCAGAAGAAGGAATTCACACCAGAGCAAAAATGCTGCATAAGGGTTATCACTGGCCTGAGCCCAGTGGGCTGCAGTCTTGCTGCTTGTCACAACGGCATAACTGCCCTGGAAAACCTCCACTCTGGGGTGGCCATGCAGATGCTCTCAGCACCCAGAAACACCCCAGCTCTGGGGCAGGGGGTGCAGCATCACTGTGGGGTGTTCAGACCTGCACAGACTCCCACCATTGAGCCATGCCCTACATCACTTCTGAAAATGATGCTTCTTCCCCTAGATCACTTGAACAGCTAAAACATACTATCACAGGTGAGCTGGGCTTGTGCAGAGGGAGGACAGGTGAACCTATTGCTCCTTCCTACAGAAGAGCAGCTAATTAATAGACTGCCTTGGTTGTGGCATAGTGCTCTCTGTGCTCATAACAGGTGAGGGTACATATTCTGGGGCTGATATACACGTGTATGCATGTGAAGGAATTTGGGGTTGGTATATCTTTGCCTATGCTTCAACAGACCAGAGTTTGCCTCCGCAGGTTGATGTTACACAGACATCGCTGGAGCTTTAACTTAAATTCAGGAAGTTCATGCAGAAGTGGTCTTGGCAGACCCAAGTAAATACTTCAGTCTCTTCCATGCAGTTCTTGCTCCACTCACAATCCATGAATGAAGGTCCTCAGTTCTGTCCTCCTTCCTGCATATTCTCAGTAGCAATTTTCTCATGGTTGACAGGAGAAATGAAGTGGGAGTGGACCAGGGGAGCAGGAAGGTCTCAGTGTCACAGATTCAGTGACACAGCCAGGTGAAAGCTATAGGCTTTCACCTAATGTTTCATCCACTGGTCCTGAGCTTAAGATTCCATGTCTCTCTTTTGCAGTCTGTAATAGATAATGCTACTGTAAATTTTCAACTCTATTGCTTTTTTACAGAGAGGAAAACCCTAGTAAAGCTAAACTCTAATAAAGCATCAGGAAAAGCAGCCTGCTTCATCTGCCTTTAGACAGTGAGAAATTATTCCCAATACTAGCAAATCCTCAATCCCGTGATAACGAAATCAGCCCAGTCTATAGGTCATAGAAAAAAACAGAGTATTTACAAAGAAAATAAATAAAGTGAATAAAAGGGAGCAAGAAGAACAGGAGAGGAAAGCTAAATGTCAAATTTATTCCATGCCAGGAGCAGGACTAAGATGGTTTCCCCATATCCCACCCTCTAGTTCAACTCACAACCCAGAAAATGCTCCTCTTGCCCAGTTTTCAGTTCAAATATGTACACGTTGAATTCTTGTTTCTAAATTGCATCCCTTTAGGCATCACTTCAGAAGATACAGAAACATAAAGCAGGAGCATACACCAAAGGCAGCGCTTCAGGGGTGGGTACCGGATCTGTGCAGCATCAAACTCCCACAGCAAGCGGGGAGCATCCTTGGCACAGGAGCAACTCATAATGCAAATACTAATCATAAAGCAACTCTATGAGCAGACTGATCAGAGAGGTAAATTGATTAAGCCTGTGCTGCCTTGCCAAAATCTTCCTTTCTGCAAGAAAGGTTTAGGTAATGCCGACTTACTGAATATCTGACAAAGTTCAGGCAAGTCAGCTGAAACCCAATAAATGTGCATGTCAGATGGAAGTAAGTACCAGCAGAAAAATAACTACTGTGCGGGAGATCAGTTGATGTCATCTTTCTATTCATTTCTCTCCAGAAAGGTACCTTTTCCCCCCACAAAACAATCACTGTTTTCTTAAAGGGATTACAGGCAGAAATGCTGGTTGCAAAGAGCCATTTATTCTCCCAAGATGTTTATAAAGCTTTTCTTTCATCCTGTATCCCTACACTTTTGTTGCTGCCTTTATTTTTTTTAAATGGAAACAAAGAAAATGGAAAATGTGCAGCTCTTGAAAAAGGAGAACAGTTTAAGTTTTAAAATGTATGGTTGTTTTTTTTTCCTTAAAAACCCCATGCTTCCTTAGAATACTTTTCTTGCAAAATTTCATCTGGCAGAAAGGAAATAAAAATATTTTCCTTCAAAATTCTGAAGGGTTTCCCCTGCCCTCCCACCCTGCTGGAGCTCAGGGCAGTGCTTTGATTTTCACACACCCTAGATGTCTATAAAGCCTTTTACAACCTGGAGTAAGCGCTGCAAGAATCTGCTTTAGCACGAAGTGCCATGAGGTTGTCGCACGCAAAACTCAATTGAGCCAATACTTCCCTCTACCGGGAAAGAGAAATACTGCGATTTGTTACAATTCCCTTTGAAATAAAGGCAGATAACAGGAAAAGAAGGGTTTTCCTATCTAAAAATGGCGGGAGATTCGGGGTGTGTAGGATGAAGAAAGAGCATCAGATTAACATTGCTCATTTATTAACCAAGCAAAAGAGGTTTTGACTGTCATACATTGACTCCCCCTTAATGAGGATTCCCCCCAAGCTCCCTTCTCTGCTGGCTTCCCAGCACCACTGTGTCTGTGATTGAACGGAGAAAACCTGCAGGCTGGGTCCCCTCTGCACCCCCACATCTGTGCTACAGAAAGCAGATCAGCCCCTATTTGCACCAGGACCGAGCCTCCTGCTCGGTCACGTCAAGGATGGTGCTAAAGCTTCATTGTACAACATTGTCTGGGATATGGGCTTGCTCCTTCCTCTGTTATAAAAGCCCTGATTCCTTCTCACCCCCCACTTCAATTCCAATAAGCAAAGAGACCCTGACATAAACCCAGCTGCTGTGTCAGGATACATCTGTATCAGTCTTCAGCTTCTGTCTTTTAATTAAGTATATCATCCTCATGGAGCATCTTTCATCAAGCATCTATGGGGAAATACTGTAACGCCTCGCTAAATTGCTACATTTGTTCAATCACACTCAAAGATATAATCCTAACGTGAGCTAATCTAATTTAACTGGGGGGGGGAGAGAGGAGGAGGAGGAGGGAATTACAGTCAGGCAATGCCTCTGTCAGCGAATGTGTCCAAGTGTGAAGAAATTGTTCAGTGCTCTGACAGACACATAACAGCTCACATCATTAAAGTAAAATGCCTTTTGCCTCCTTGAAGAGGCTCACACCCCGCACCACACCAAATTAGGCCACTTAATGTCACAGCAGAATACAGCTGTCTTTGAATTTAGAAAGGGATGAAGGTTGTGCTGGGCTGGGCTAAATTATGTCCCTTTAGCACACTCCTGCCACCTGTGGACAGTGCAAATATTTGGTAGTTAGGTAGTTCAGAGAGCAGAGAAACACTGCTTCACTGAATGGGGGAAGCACTCACATAGGGTTTCATGATTAGCAGTGTCAGAAAGGCAGACCTCAGGTTTCCAGCAAAGCTTTCCATTCCTCCCATATTCCCTGCATCGTAATAAATCACAGACCCCATGAATTTCTGACACTGAAAAGGTTGAGAAAAACTTCACCTCACATGAGTTTCCCTTTGCTAGCTTCCTCAAAAAAGTTATCTG